AAAGCTACTAGATGGATCTACTTATATAGAAGCAAGGGGTGGCAGTCAAGGAGGTGGGAGGACGTCCCAAGGCAGCCTAAAACTAACCCTAGGTCGTACAAGGCTCATGGGCCCAAGTGGAGGTGATGCAACACCTTTGGACTTTTTGTTTGACTCGGATTCTGCTGTAGTGTCAGATTGTTTCGTCGATATCTCAATGCTCCGGACGAATTTAAAGGTGATTCCAATTGGGTTGGAAAGAGCACGAAATCTACTTTCCAACAAAAAAGAATCACCCAATTTGGAATCCGTATAAAAAAGTTGTTGACGTTTTAAGTCAGGTATGTCTGTGCAGTCCGAATCTGAATCCAGAACGTGAGAGACTTGGACTCTATCTTCTCTTGGCCCAAAAGTGACGTGAGAGAACTTTTTGAACAGAACCTAAACTTCTCCTTTTCCCTTATCTTCATATGTGGGTTGTACAAATGTCCCATACACCTACAATTAGACAAAACACAAAAGTGTGTGAAGTATTTTTGTTCTGGATAACATAAATAGATTATTGAATAGTTTGCACTAGAAATCACCTGACAAATATGCATGTATGCAATATTTTTGGTCGTATCCAAGGTAGTCATGTCCTCATCAAGCTGGGACATGATTCATTAATCAGTTAGCATTCTTTGTTGATTTTTTTATTCAGTTAAGATTGTTTAAACAAAGAGGCATATAATTCATAGTTTTGTGTACTTGTTCCTAAAATTGGTATTATTGGTGACGATGGCAAATGTTAAAAAAAGCCTCAAGGCCGGGGATCACCCCCTTTTCAAAAAAAAGTGTAGTCAAGAGTAAGGTTGAGTCGTTGACATGCCATATTTGTTATAACTATTTTTACTTTGGACCACCTTGTATAAAAATCCTAGATCCGCCACTGCTTGTCTCCCTGGCAGCCTGGTCGCTCTAGCGGGCACGTTTACACCGTATAAAAAGAGGAAGGGGTCGAGGAGATGAATACGCCACCGTCGCCGTCACCACCTAGCCAGATGTGATGTAGGAGGACGGACTGCCAGGACCAAGATGAGGAAGAGAAACCTAATCAGTCAGACATGGCTGCCTGAGACAGTATTTGTCGAAGTATGGAGAGGGGTGAGAAAGGAACAACATGATCATCTGGATGGTAGAGATTATATGGAAAGCAGGGAGGAGTAGAGGAAGAGCAAGGAACGCCATGATGACGGGCCTGCAATTACTGGGTGAGGCAAACACGTCGCATCCATTTCCATTAACGCTTCCTCAATCCCCGGCTAGTGGAACCCAAACAACATGCGGCGGTTCGATGCGCCGTCCCCGCCCTCAACCATCGGCGAATCCTATTTAGCGCTGCAGGTGCCCATTAATGTGTATTCTGCAAACGGGCGCGTGCAGCGTCCCACACTGGGCCGCCCACTTACTATGTAAGTGATTTTGCAAAAAAAGATATCCTCATAGACGCCACTCGAACCACAGACCTCCTGCCATGAGGTTCGGTAGTATAACCACCTCGCCACACAACAGGTTATGGTAAGATTTAACTCTTTCCCTCAATTATTTTTTCGTTTTTCGTTTTTCCATTTTTCTTTTTCTGTTTTTCTTTTCTTCTTCTTCCTGGTTTCTTTCCCTCACTGATTTTGTTTTTTTATTTCTTAAATACGTCAACTTTTTTAAAATCGATGATGTATATTTTTCAAATTTGATGAACTTTTCTTTTCAAAATCTATGAACTTTTTCCTATTTTTCGTGAACTATTTTTAAAATTTGATAATTTTGTTTCAAATTTGATGAACTTTTTTTTCAAATACGATGAATTTTTCTAAATTTGATGAACTTTTTTTCAAAATCTATGAACTGTTTTCAAATTCAATGAACATTTCTTCAAATTGGATGAACTATTTTCAGAAATTGATGAACTTTTTTCAGTTTTGTGAACTTTTTTCAAAATTGATGAACTTTTCTTAAATTGGTCAACTTTTTTTCAAAATTTTGATGAACATTTTTTAGTTTTTGCGAACTATTTTCAAAATCATTGAACTTTTCTTGAATTGGGCAATGTTTTTTTTGCATGTTCATGAACTTTTTCCGAAATTTGTGAAGTTTCATTTTTCTTGGAGAAAATCATATATGACCGGCTATGAAAGTTTTTCAAGTATTAGCGCTCAATTTTTCAGTTGCAAAAACACGCCCTAGTCGTTAGCTGAACGCATGTAGGTAGTGCATGTCGCAAGTTCTATATAAGGGTATATGTTAGTGTTGTACTACTGAAAGTAGTAAATTGGGTTGTGTTCGAATTTTATAAAACCGAGTGGTGTTGGCGCAGTGGGTGCTCTGTTGAGACTAGCACGGGTAACATGTGGGTTTGAATCCCAGCTTTCGCGTATATTTTCCGAAGATACTCTGAGCATGATTGGTTTGATGCATTGCCAATATTTGGCAAAATCAAAAGTTATGAGATTGACAAGAAAAATTGATAGCCAACTAATCACTAGTTTCGAATCCCAGCTTTCGCGTATATTTTCCGAAGATACTCTGAGCATAATTGGTTTGATGCATTGCCAATATTTGGCAAGCCAACATTTGGCAAAATCAAAAGTTGTGAGATTGACAAGAAAAATTGATAGCCAACTAATCACTAGTTTCGAATCCCAGCTTTCGCGTATATTTTCCGAAGATACTCTGAGCATAATTGGTTTGATGCATTGCCAATATTTGGCAAGCCAACATTTGGCAAAATCAAAAGTTGTGAGATTGACAAGAAAAAATGATAGCCAACTAATCACTAGTTAACTTTTGGCATCGAACCAATTATGCTCTTTTTCTTTTCATGGCTGCTTTTTGAAGTAGCTGCCGGGCCGGCCCGCTAAGCGGCGCTGAATGCGCCAAGTAGGAGCTCAACTAGTTAACTTTGGAAGTTTTTTTGGATTTTTTTTAATTTTTGCACACGTGTTTTACCATTTTAACTTTTTTTGATTTTTTTCGACGTTTTGGTTTTCTCCTGGTTTTTCTTAGCTTTTCGATCAAAAACAAATTCAGGGAAAAAAATTGCGTGAAAAAAATATGTTTTCTTTTTTTCCTTTCGTGAAAGTCACGGTTTTTTTCCGCTGAGAGGCACGGTTGTGCTTTAGTGAGAGTCACGGCCGTGCCTTTCGGAAACGACAAAAAAATGCATTTTCTATTTTTTTTCTTTCGCAAGTCACTGTTTTGCTTCCGCGAGAGGCACGGTTGTGCTTTCGCGAGAGTCACGGTCGTGCCTCTCGGAAAGGGAAAAACAAAATGCGTTTTCTGTTTTTTTCTTTCGCGAGAGTCACGGTTTTGCTTCAGCGAGAGGCACGGTTGTGCTTTCGCGAGAGTCATGGCCGTGCCTCTCAGAAAGGGAAAAAATACGTGTTTTTGTTTTTTTTTCTTTCGCGAGAGTCATGATTTTGTTTCTGCTAGAGGCACGGTTGTGCTTTCGTGACTCTCGGAAACGAAAAAAAAAATGTGTTTTCTGGTTTTTTTTCCTTCCACGAGAGTCACGGTTTTGCTTCCACGAGAGGCACGGGCATGCCTCTTTCGAAAAGAGAAAAAAACCATGCTCCTGGTTCGGTTTTTTTGTCTAATTTTTTTCGTTCGGTTTTTTGTGAAAAAAAGTTAGTCAAAACCTACCAACATTGGATCTAGTTTTGAAGGTCTCGACGTGAGGAATCCAATGTGAAAACGGTTCAAGATTTGGACGCACGGTTTAAAAGATAAAATGTTTTGAATAAACAGATCTATGAAAAAGGGAAAACTCTCATGTTGCGACAAATGACGTGCTGTATATGCGCCATTTGTCGCGACCTGGGAAAGTGAAATGTTTTTTACCACGAGTACTCTTTAATTAATGATTTCGCCCTTACCATCGCGCCCAGTAGGCCTGATTAACAGCAGACCAGGAATTTTGTTGTCAAAGCAGCGGCCCAGCCCATGTAGCGTGAAGAGTGCGGCAACAGAAGCCCAGGCGAGAATGAAAGGAGATCTAATGGTCAGAAATTCACACGAGTCCAAATCCAACAGTTGAAAATGTTGATGGCCTGAGAGGCTGGAATAGTGCACAGTTGTAATGTCTCTAAATTAATGTATTAACAAGTTTGGACTCACATATCATCAAAGAAAAAAAAGGATGAGTTGTGCCAAAATTAGTGATAATTAATTCCATGTACATTTTGTGCAATTGTTTGTGAATTGTATGTTGCACAATTAAGTGCAGTATTTTTTAGATAATGCATTACTTGTCATACAATGTATTGATATATATACTAGTCATGAGCAGTGTGTTGTGGCGAGTTCCACCATCCAGATCATTAGAATGAAAGAGTTGCCAGAGTCGGAGGCAAGGGTAGAAGCAACATCGGACTTGGAGCGAGGCTCCACAAATGGATACCGACACAGATGGATGTCGTCGGGCAGATACAGATGGGTATTCTTAATCGCTATTCAAGTCGATCTCATCAGCATCTTAGCCCTCGAGGGATGGGACCTCCTTGTATTTTTGGACATCAAGACCCAAGTTAGGACGAGATGTGATCTAGATTAAAAATCACAATTATTGTGCAATATTTATTTGTTGGAGACAAACCATAATTCACTGAAAAAAATCTCGATAAGTTAGGATGTGTTTCATCCAATATCAAGTGTGTATTGTTTTGTTGATATGGGGAGAAGACAAGAGGCCATGGAAGAAAGCTGAGTCAAGATCTGGTGTAGGTCTTCGTGTAAAAAAAAGCAAACCCAATGGTGGCACTTTGGGGGCTCTTATCTCTAACTTATATTGGTAATACATCGCCAAATTTATTCGAAAGCGATGTGGTAATTTCAACTGCTCATATATGGATCACTTGATAAATTCTACAAACTCAAGGTGCAATACTGAATTTATGTTGTATAGCGATTTCTAGCGAAATAGTCATGCTGCTACACCACATACTATGGCATATCTGTTCTTTTAGCGAATGTTCACTGATCACTATTTAGCTAGTTAACATCACAGTTTCCTCTGCTGGAGCCTTGGAGGAGAATATGCACATTGAGCACTTACACCTGCTGCCATCAATATCGGCTTGCCAAGCGCACGCCATATCGTCAGAGCAGTGAATGGTCGCCTTATACTTCTTGTGGCAATCGTCCTCACAACCACCAATCAAGTACCCACCAAACTTCTTCAAGTATACGACCGTACAACCTGGTTTTGTTTTCGCATCTGCAAAATATCACCAACCAAAAGAAACTAGAATCATGAACTAATATGATTTTGTTGATTGTGCGGATGCAACAGTCTTGCAAGAAGAAATTGTACGTACTTGATGCTAGCACAAGAAAGGCAAGGGTTAGGAGTAGCGTCAAAGATGAAATCCTCATCCTAAGTTGTATGTGGTGTCAATAGAAAAGTGTCTGCTTGTGAGTTGTGAGGAAGAGGAAACGAGAGGGCAGTCCTTTTTATAACAGGTTTGATATTAATGCTCATTATTGCAATACAAAAATAGCATGAAAACAAAGATTGGATAAATTCTGTCGTACTAAAAGCAATTAAGTGGAATTGAGGATAAGATATATACACACGCTTTCTAGCAGAGCAAGGAAATGAAATTAAAAGATTGCACCGTTGAGCAGACGTTTTCACATGAAAAAGATAGATAAAAAAAGAACATCTATACAGTTACTAAGCTCCCTTGAAATAAGCTCTCCTAGTGAATCCACGGTGTGGAAAGTGCATGGGCCCTGGGTGACAGTGGGTGAGACGTGTTGGTGGGCATCTCGGTTCCTTGCGTGTCCTGTTTTCTTGTGTACATGCGCAGTTAGCTAGCTGGTCCCTTGCATGTCGGTTCGTCTAGCTAAGAAAGAAAAAGAACGTCACCACACCCAGCCAATAAAAGACTCTCAACGAGCAAAACTGATTGAACAGAGAAAATGTTAGAAATAAAATAGGATGTGTCTATTGTATTAATTAAAATGTATTAATTAACGAATCATCATTCGTGTGACCAATCCTAAGTAGTGATGTTCCTTTTCTTTTAACATTTATAACTGCTATCGCTTGGAGGCAGTTTCTCCCTATGTATAGATACCATTTCTTTCAATGGAATTACAGAGTGTAGTTCTCTCCCCCCCACCTCTCTCACTCTTACTTGCATTTTCCAGATATATGTTCTTTTACTTTTGTTTAAATTTCCTTTTTCTTTTCTTTTTTGTTGCTATTCACGAATATTTCTTTTCAAAACAAGTGTGAACATTTTTAAAACATCGTTTTAAATTTCATGAAATTTTCTCCAAAACATAATTTTTATTAGATTAATGAATACTTTTTAGATTAGATAAATGCATACTTTTTAGATTGTATTGACTTTTGAAATGTGTGCACACATTTTAAGTAATACACGAACACTGTTTGTAACTTTTTATAGAGATCAACACGGTTTGCAACTATATGAGCATGTTTCCAATGCACGGACATTTTTAAAGCATGGACACTTTTCAAAATTGGACACTTATTTTAAATTAATAACCATTTATTCAAAATGTGTGAACATATCATGTGAACATTTTATAATATGTCATGAATATATTTCAAAATGTACAAGCTTATTTTTGTAAACTAGATGAACATTTTTTTGAAGTTCATGGACATTTTCTAAAATACCATTTGAAAATTACTTACACATTTATTAATGGATCGGCCCAATATATAAAGTAGCGGGCGGGGCCGTGCCATTGGACTTTATAAGAGTCCTATGCTCGGTGCTGGTACGCTATGCGCCGTAAGGGTTGGGGGGTGTATTGGATGGCATGATCAATTATCACTATGGTCAGCGCTTCTATGAATTTCCATGAAAATACGTGTATGTATGTAACTATCGTTGTCTTTCCCCTTACGTTTGAACTATGCCTCCAACAAAAGTCAAGAACAACCCCATCGCAAGGAAAAACACCGAGCCTAGCATATTTAAGGCCCGAAACCCATCGACCAATTATGGTACATCCACAAAGAAAGTAGAACCCATAAAAGAAGAACGGCGCAGTAAAGCGTGCGGCAACTTCTAGTACAATGTATTGCTTACCCAAAGGGCGATTGGACAAGTTGCTACTGTATGCAGCAGGAAAGCAACAAGAAAGTCGCTCCTCGCGCTCACCCAATTTCCTACTCCAAGAAATGAGGCACAATCTTTCAAGAACAACCCAAGTCTCCTAATTGAAGAAACAAAGAAACATCAATAATGTGATGAAGGCAAAATATATCAGAAGGAACATAAATTATCTTTTACAATACAAACAAACATCAATAAAGTGATGGATCGCCACGAGCAGAGCTCGGCGAGAAAGAACTTCCTTGACTCGAACGACAAGTCTGCACCACCACCGAGAAAGTTTGACATCAGAAAAAGTAAGGTGTCATAACCGTGGCAAAAGGGCACTCATTGCCAAGGAAGGCGATGATGAAGGCATGATGTTGATGTGCGAACTGGTGGACGAGGATGACTAAACAAATTTTCATGCTCGTTGAAAAAATTGTCATCATACGGGGCTTACTACCAAGAAGATTGCTATAATCTTCCGAGATTTTGTACCAAAAAGATCGCTTCTTTCTCATTACATCCAGCAAGACCATGAGATAGGAAACACAAAACGAAAACACAAGATGCAAGGGGACCATGGCAATATTTGTATCAATAAAATCCATAATTTAATTATTTTGTTAATTCTGGGCATATATCTACTCACAAATTACTATGCTTAATTGGCAGTAAATTATGGTGTGATTTGTTCTACCTACTTGCGAGAAAATAGAAACGCTTAATTATACAAACACGTTCCAAACCGTTGTGCCCATCTGCTTCAGCCGCTTCTCCTGCTGCACGCTCAGCCGCACAACAATAGATGATCAAGCAGCAGTGAAAACGAAAGTGTTGACGCTCGAAAATGGCATGATCGCAAAGAGTGACTTGAGGCTGTAGCAAGATGAGTTCAAATTCATGATGTCATGCCACCATTGGATGACTCTCTTCAAGCCGATCGAAATAAATATAGAGAAGGTCCAAAACGGAGCTCGGATGCAGAAGTTATGACAATTTTGGAGATACCCGTGTTGACATCAGATTATAAAATGACATGAAACCTAATTAAGATGGCCTTGGATGAAAAAACTTTCAACTACAAAGTTCTTCATCTCGTCGAAACGGACGATTTTGATATAAAAATCGTCCTCTTCCGAGGTCGTATGCAAAAGTTACAGGTAAAACAGTGGACTGCAGCAGTATTTGGCCGGATCATCCGGGCCGGGATCCAGACCATCCGGGCTATTATCCGGGTAAATTATCAGAACCATAAATTTCGGACCACATGAAGCCAGGTCATCCGGATGGCACCCAGATCATCCGGGTAAAGCCCGGACAATCCGGACATGAGTCCGGACATCTGGACAACTTTTTCTGCTACAGACTTTAGAAAACGTCCCGAAACACCCTTAAGATGGTCTCAGATCAAAAAGTGTTCAACAGAAAAGTTGTGGGTCTCTTCGAGTCGGTTGATTTTGATATAAAAATCATGTTAATCCGAGTTTTTATACAAAAGTTACAGCCCAATTAGTGAGCTGCTGTCAGAAAACTGGGTTAGGCCGGATCATCCGGGCCTTGAGCCGGACATCCGGGCCGGAGGTCGTGAATACTCCGTGTTTTATTAGGTTTTTGATAATTTGGATGGCTAGGAAAGTCCTTTTCTTGTACGGGAAGTCCATCCGCCTCATATATAGACAAGAGGTGACGGCCGATTGAACAACAACACACAATCGCAAAACACATCTACATTTTACCCTAGTTTTACATCCCTCCTTTGTTCTTTCTCTCTCGTTCTTTGTTCGTTCTTCATATTGAAGGGCAGCGATCCTCGAGGCTCTAGGGGCGGGCGAACCGACCTAGGGCAGCCCATAGCCGCCGCACGTCCAGACGGGGTCCCTCCTGGGCGCGTGGGGTTTCGGGTCCTGAAAAGCACTGGCCGGATTGCTTGCGTACCGCGCTTCCAGACGGGTCTCCTTCGACGTGAGCTGCGGTGTATCACCCTTGGTGTTGGAGGTACACGGTGACGTGTTCGTGTGCGAACACACTTTTTGGCGACTCTGCTGGGGACAAAAGATCAAGAATCATCATCAACCATGTCTAATCTCCCCAAGCCCTCAGAAGTTGACGCCGATAAGATCATTAAGCCCGGTCTTGATGAACTATCGGATGAACATCGCCAAGCCTACGAAACGCACAAGAAGCAGCGTGAAGAGGCTTTTTAGGCGCTCAAGAAGATGCGCGAGGAGGATTTGGAAGCGTTTCTTTCAAGTTTCAAGAAGGACCGTCAAGGCAACATCACTCCGGTTGGAAACGTCAACCTTCCTCCCCTCATCGACGAACAAGATGTAATCACTATGAGTAAAGTTTTTTCTCCAGAGCAAGTGGCTGTGATTGAAAGTCTTGTTAGTAAGGGTAATGTGATGACATACAATTCTTTTGTGGCAAATACTAGTGCTAAGAAAAATATGCCTCCGTCATCTAGTGGTACTGTTGGTATATCTGAAAACCCCAGTCCAATTTTACCTCTTTCATCGGCACCACCTATACAACAACAATATAATATGCCGTTGAATTTTTACCATACTCAAACCAACCAGCTTGTGGCTGCACCTACATACCCCAATCATATTATGAGTGTGCCCAATTCGGCGTCAACGCCGAATCACTTTCTCACACCACCCATAGGTGCAAGCATGTTTGGTCTTCCGCCGAATTATGGTTCGGTGCCCATCCCACAAGTTGCACCAATAGCTAGTACTCAGGTTGCTCATATGCCATTGACACAAACATCTTCATCTACCTCAGATCCAATTTTAGCTAAATTAAGGGAGGATTTGCATAAGATGTTTATAGAAACTTTCGGAAACGAGCCGACAGTAAAGAGTCGTGTGTACCAAAAGCCTTATCCTGAACACTTCGATGCAATTTCTTACCCTCAAGGTTATAAGGTTCCTAATTTTGTTAAATTTAGTGGTGAGAGTACGAAAACAACTTGGGAGCATGTGAGTCAGTATCTAGCACAGTTGGGTGAAGCAGGTTCCATAGAAGAATTGAAGGTGTGTTTATTTCCATTATCTTTAACTGGTACCGCATTTTCATGGTTTGCTGCTTTACCACATGGCTCAATTCTCTTATGGTCGCAATTAAAGCAAAAGTTTCATGATCACTTTTATAGCGACGATAATGAGCTAAAGTTGTCACATCTTACATCGGTTAGGCAGAAACATGATGAACCAGTCACCGATTATGTTAAGAGGTTTAGAGATATAAAAAACCGATGTTATAGCTTAGTGATAACTGAGAGAGACT